TTTCGCAGGAGGCTGCAAAACGTTCTCGAAACCGGTGAGTGGCGATCATTCGACGGGGGATGATTTTAGCTCGACGCGTTTCATCTCTTTCACTCCGAAACAAAAGCTTATGCGCTAAGTATCTCACAGGACAAAGTTAGAAGATTTAGGAAAAAGGGGGAGGGAGGGAGTGAATCCGAGGTGATTGAGAGGGAGAAAGTAATGTGGATCGTCACGACGAAAGAAGGAGTATCTCGTTTGGAACAATCAATTAAATCTTGCGTTTGTTTCTCTCACCAGCGGGGGAAGCGGGACAGGATTAAGAAGAAGGGGATGAAAGAAGTGTGGTCGGGGCGGAAGAGATATTTACATTTATAAAACGGCTAAGGATAAAACATGCACTGTACATCGTCTGTCCGTGTCCGATCAACGCCGCACAGGCGTCTTTTTTCCTCGTCCTTTGATCCTTTCTCGCGCAGCGATACACATGTGGACGAGTGTGCTCGACTACGTTTTGTCTTTTTTTTTCTTTCCTTCCTGTTTTTTATTCGAGACATCTAGATTGCAATCCGTAAAATCCAAGATCCGAGATTCAGCCTTCATAAACATAAAACTATATTTGCAATGATCCTTTTCTCTCTCCTTCTTCTTACAGAATTTGCTCTAATTACAATTTTATATTTAAAACAAATTAGAACAAAATGTCGCCTCAGATGGAATTTTTTAATAAATTTTGGGAAAAAAAAGTTGCCTTAAACACAATTTCGCGTCTTAGATGGACATCGCGGGTTTCAATTCCAGTCGCCTCGATTATCCCTCTATCGTCGACCTACTTTAGTGGAATTTGTTATAAATATCCAACGATTACTTGGGTTCTTTAATATTTTACTTCCTTCACTTAATTTATTTACACATTAACTAATACGCGTTGGGACTTAAGTTAAGATCCGCCTTGCGCGTCCACGGCGCGCCGCGTCTCATCGATAATAGTAGCTCGTAATAGCTTCGCTACTTACTAGTAAACTCGCTTAATCTAGGTATGCTTTCTTTCCGCATCTATCGGTCATCACTTCAGGATTCTCTTGCATCCCTTCGCTCTCGGCTCTCTTGATCTCTCGCGCTCGCGCTCGCGCTTCACTTTACATTACAAATATTCAACATGTACAAAGCCGTATTTACATTATGTACATACAGATCTCTCGCGCTCGGAGTTCTTCGCGACATTAATTAACGCTTCGCATGCGCGTGTCCTCGCGTGGTACCTTTCGTGTTTGTGCACGCGGTGAAACTTCAGTCAGCACAATCGAGATGCCGCAGTCGGGACACCTCGTGCAGAAACGCGCACATTCTTGATCGCATACTTTGGACTAAATACGACGGTGGTTGCCGCGAGTTTAATGGTAAGTGTAAATATTTATTTTTCTCCTCTTCAATTCTGTGTTCGCGCACGATTGTCGTTTAGTGCTAAAGATGCGTCAAAAATGCAGGCTACTATTTCGTCCAATGAGACACACTGACCAACTTTCGGGCTCATGCAGTCCCTCTTCGCCCTTTCTGGGTTTGTCAACATCGAACGGATGGAATATGGATGCTTTCAATAGTTATCTGGCAATTACGCGGCTGAGATTGTAAAAATTATACATAAGCTAGCGATTTAATAGATTTTTTTTAAGAAATCAATCATGGCAAAACTCAAATTCTAAGCAGCTCGCAGTCTGAATTGGTCGCGATCGCGGCTCAAAAGACAGCAGGTCTGACAACGGAATAGCATTTAATCGGATTTGTGATGTCAGTAGCCTTCATTTTCAGAACTTCCTTTATAATATTTATATTATATAATGTCATATAATTTTTTTCAGCGGCGATTATACCGCCGTACAAAATCGCCAAGTGCAAGAAGCTTTGCTTTCGCAAAGATATCACTGAATAATGAATTTTCATACGCAGTTTTTGAAATCTTGCTAATTGCTATTTTATATCAGTAACACTTTCGGTAATCTTTGTGCTTATAACTCATTTAATTCCCTTTTTTATTTATAATGTGACTACGTTGCATTCACAAGAATTAAGTTTTCATTCCTGCTTTGTGAAACTCGCCAAGTGTTAAATCGCTCGTGATGGTATACGCATATTAAGATGTAATGTATAAGATGGTTAGTCCAATTAATATCAAATGCAATTGCAAAGCTTCTAAAATTTTTATAAATAATTTTTATATAACTGGTAAAGTAACGTCTATAAAGGCTACTGATAAGGCTACTGATAAGCTGACATTCTTTATGTACTTTAAAAAATCATTGATGGACACATGTTTTGAAACACTTAAATGAGCAATTATGTCTTAAAACTGCTCAAGATTACATTTATATTTACTTAACATAGCTGGTACCCTTAATGCGATTATCACTATTACAATTTTTCTACATGCATGTTTCTCATCAGCCAGATGTAAATCAAACAACTAACAAAGTTGCGACATAGTGGACAAAGATACGTTGAACCTATTATATTCGCTAGCTCGTATAAATTTTCATTAGATTGTTAATACAAAATTTTCTCAGACTGTTGACGCAAAAATATAAAATGCTTAAAGTGAATACTCGTCAACTTATAGAATAATAATAATTGTCTTGATAAGAGCACAATAAAAGTTTTCTCACAAAAGAGTTATAAATTTAAGTAAATAATTACGGAATTATTTTAAATTGATCCAACGTAATTTCATCCACGATGCATCTTATTCTTGTGGTTTTCATCGGTTAGGGATGGTTGGAGAACGACAAACTCCCACTCGACACAGTTTCCGCTCGCAATACAAAACACTCGGGGGTGATAAAAAATAAATAGCGCGCGCGCGGGATCCCTTGGTTAGCTTAGCTCACGCGTTCTCACGTACATACACGGTTTTGTTTTAAAAAATAGTAAAAAACAGTGACTAAGTATTTTCGCGCATTTTTCCACGTCGCTCGGGAAATCCGCTTGTATCACTAATACTTATCCGCCCATCAACGATTTCTGGGCCCTTCCTGCCGTTTCTTCATCGCTTTTTCTTTCGTTACAATAATATAATATATCGTTACTGTATACATACATATACATACATATATATATATATATATATATATATTTATTTTTTTTATTTATAAAAATAACGTTCTGGGACTAAAACGTAACGTTCCAAAGCGGCGCGCGACGAGGAGCTGCTACGTACGACTGATAAAGGTGCTTCAACCATTGCCTCTTGATTTCACCTTTGTTCTTCCCGTGCAAGAGGAAATCTAATTTCCGGCCATCAGTGCCGAGAACGCGCTCGTTATTCGCTCATCGAGACACAAGTCGGTGAAAGCTCGTGCGAGGAGCGAATATCAGGACGAAGCCTCGCGCAGAATCGGCTTCAGAGTATGAGGTAGCTGCCTTAAGATGGATAGAAATGAAAAGGATAATGTCGTAGACAATAACGAGTGACTTCCTTGCTGCCAGTTTGTATTAACCAAAAAATGTTACGCTATTGAACATTTTTGCGGTAACTGATCTTTCTTGTAAAGAAACGAACGAAAAATGTTTTTGCGTAAAAAAAATAAAGAGATACTCATAAATTCCCACGCGTTTTGTAATTAAATAGATTGTATAAAAAAATTCTGCACAAATCATTTGAATTCTCAAGTAATATGTAAAGTGAAAGTAAATGAAAGAATACGAGTATCGTAAACTGCGGAGGGAAATAAAAAAAGGAATTACTTAATTTTATAAAAATGTGTGTGCCTGAAGCCAATTCTGTTTTTGTAAACTATTAAACTTCAATGTTTTATCGACAAGTTTTCCGTGACGCGAGTTATCAAGAGGCGTTGAAAGTGAAGCAACGTATCGTAGTATGTACTGAGATTGCTCCAGCTGAATTACTTGTGTGTCGCAATATAAAAAGATATCCCCCTTTTATAGCAGAAGAAGGGATTGTCACCATTTCCTGATTAAATCCTCAGATACTCGATGACCTTAGACGATTCGTTTACTACAGCTAACAGCAATCTCATCTCAGATTAGGATATCGATTCCTTTATCAAATCGTCATCGATCCTGCGTAAGGGCACATCGATTCTCGGCCTGTCGACGACATTCGGCGTATCATGTGTATTCGGCTGCTGGCGATATGTCTAGAGCTATGTTACAATACATGTTTTCTAAGTTTTGGGGTTGATCACCCGTGCCTGAAAAGCTTTGCCTCTCCGAATACTTGCAGTGTGTGTGTATGTGTGTGTGTGTGCAGACTCGATTGATGAGAGAACCAACCGGGCGACTCGATCGTCGTACCGCGATGATACAAGGTGTGATATTGAGCGCCATATTAAACGTAATTCCCCCGATGCAAATACGTCTACCACACCGTGATTTACACGTGATTTACATTTGGCGGTGAATTGCATTTGATACTTGCGATCAATACGACACCTAATATTATCAGATGGGTGACGGCCGAGTCGCCGGCGAATCCACTTACCATACTAAATACCGGCTTACGATACGCAATTTGTCGTGTCCTGTAACCCTTCCCGACCCGTAACAATCATGTGACGGTGGCGCGGATCTGGGAAGGATTCTCGCTCAGATATGCCGAGTATCGATGATGTTCGTGTAATATCTCCTCTCACGAAGTCCGTCGCGTACGAGGATGGGATTCGATTCGATCTCAATAACGCTGAGATGTTATCGCTGTAGGAAATATACTGGATGAAGTGTACGTTTTGCTTCAAGTCCGATATATCATCGAAATTGTAATATTTTTCATCGTATAAAATACCTTAAGACGCGCGAATTTTGCTAGTACAAAGAAAATTGGAAACGATAATCTATATTTATTTGAGAACAGTATATTATAAAATAAATATTTTTAGTACATACATTTCTTATGCAAAAGAAACAAAAATTTTACTTTTTTAAAATAGAAAGAAAGTATAGATACTACTCGTTTAGAATTAAATATAGTTATTATTAAAATAAATAGAAATAACCAATTTTAGCTCGATAAAATTATAACAATGTAAATCTCTTGAAAAAACAAATATCCTAAATGTCAAATAATGCAATTTTTAACATCTTTTATTGGAAGATGATAAAGTTATTGCTTCTCATCCTAATAAAATTACAATTAATGTACAATGTTGGAAAAATTAATATTAAAATTTAATATATCGAATAATCATATAGCAAATATTTGCAAAAATAAAATTTGCACGAGCTGCCTGTAAAATCAAGATACTAAAACTTTGGTTCATCACGCTCGCATAAATACTAGAAAAACACGTTGCTTAAATTCAAAATAAACCATTTGAAAATCTTTGAAGCTAATCTTCGTGTTGCTTCGGACTTCGGAAAGCTTCTATCCCATCAGGACTCGTCGCGTTCTGGTCTTCGCTCGCGCACTCATTTCGCCAATTCCGAACGCCCGGCCACGACGGGCACATCGTCGTCGTCGACTTAGCCTAAACGAGAGGTCCGCTACATTTGTGTTATACAGAGTCCACGGTGGCACACACGCGTACAGTGTATCCTAAAGAGACACGCGGGCGCCCGTTGGACGACGTGGCAGCCTAGTTGGACGCCCGTCGGTCTCGCATTCGCTCCTTTCTCTCTCTCTCTCTCGCTCATCCTTTCTCTCCCTTTGTCTTGCTCATCGCAAGGAAACGTCTGATGAAATTCCACCTGAACGGAGACGAAGAACGCCGAACTGGCGTTTCCCTCGAACGCTCGCGATACGTCGATTATGGCTAAAACGCGACGACCTGCGACAAGACACCGTCGCGCCTTACGCTTGAGCTAAAAAGCGGCACGTCCGACTTTCCGCGGCTTCCCTTCGTCCTCCCAAGGCGCAGACACGTGGCTGTTCTCTTCAGGAACGAATCGTTATCACCGTCACCACACTCTCTCAACCCTCCACCAAACCGTCACCACGTGATCCCGGATAAAACGAACCGTCCAGACGGCTCACACCGGCTCACGCCGTCTCCTAGGAGCTGCTGCCGTTCCTTCGGCGGGAGAACGTAGAGGAATCTCCGATCCGGGTCGCGGTCGGCACCTAACACTCGCTGTAGGACGGCGGCGGCATACCGCGGCCCGTATACATGTCCGTCTGCGGCTGCAGGTGGCAGACGACGGTGTGCCCATCCAGCACGGCCACCGTCCGCGTGTGATCCTGCTGCGGCGGCATGCCGTACGCCGCCGGCAGCCGTGGCAGGTCGCCGATCTCGTACCTGGCCTGCTGCCGGCGCAGCTTCTCCCAACAGGCGTTCAGAGTGCGCTCTACCGCCGGTCCGTACTCCGTCGTGTCGTAATGCGCGAGATTACCGCCGCCGCCGCCGCCGCCTCCGACGCCGCGCTCCGTCATCGCCTGGCCGTAGTGCACCAGGTTGCGATCGGCAGCGGGCGAATACGGGATGAGCGGCCGGTGATCGCCGTAGCTCCTGGACGACTGCCTGCTCATGTCGCTCTGCCGTCGGCCGTCCTCGTCGGACATGTCCGACACCTGGATCTCGCCGGCGCCGACGACGCCGATACCGCCGCCGCCGTTGCCGCCGCCGATGATGCCGCCGCCGCCGTTGCCGCCGCTGCCGCGCTCGATCTCCTCGTACACCGGGTCGTCCTCGTTGGCGAGGCCGCGCGGCAGGTGCACGTGCTGGCCGTGATGGCCGTGTAGCTGATGATGCCCGCCGGCGCCGCCGTTGCCACGACCGTCCACGATCTCGGTATACGTGTGGTTGTACGGCATCGCGGCGCGCCTGCCGCCCGTCGTCCTGGTGCCGGCGTTCATCTCGCCGGCGTCGTTCGGCCCGCGTCTTCGAACGGAGTGGCCGAGCGTCAAGGTGTTGTGCGTCCGCGGTGAATCCTCCTGCTCGGAACCGCCGTGTCCAGAGTCGCGGGAGTAGGACTTAAAAGAAATGTTCTGCGGAAAAAGTCAGTAATTTGCGTTAGAAATGACGGGCTCGGAAGAGAGGGAGGGGTGAACTAGAAAATGACGGGGAATGACGACTTCCGCGTCCGTTAAATTCCATGCGTGCGCGTTGAAATGATCTCGTTTGACGATTTCTAGAAACGTATATCTACGTACAAACAACAACGCACGATTATACAAATGTGTGATCGAATAATCTGAGAATACGTTCGTAGATGAATAATATGCAGAGACGAAAGGAAGATGAGTAGCTTGTAAAAGGCGCAACACATTCAACAACTCGCTGTACAATGATGTTACACCATCCGTATGGAATCATCAAACGCAAAAGTGTAAAAATTACGAGACTCGTCTTGCGTGATTGAGCCGTTTAATTGGACGGAAAAATGTGAAAGACTTTGTAAGTATTTAACATCTAATAAACTCCGCTAATTAATTTCAGTGCATTATATTTATGTAGCACATTTAAATTACCAAGATCGCAAAGAGGTTTGTTGAAATAAAGAGAGATGCGTCGCTTCAATCTTTATTTTTCCGTCCTAACTTTAATCATACCTGATTCATACACTACTATCAAATGAAACGGCTCAATTGATGATCGCGCATGCATGAGAGGAACGAGAAAATCCCGTTCGTGTTGCACGAGGACCGTATTTCACGGTTAATCATCTCCTCCTCTCTTCATTGTACAGTACAAAAAAAAAAAATAACACGTAACGTAAACCAAGGCACACAAGATGAGCTACACACAATTCATGACAGGATAAATGGAGCACTGCGTTCTGATATAAAACGTCATAACCGTGTATTCGC